TGAAATAAAGAAATCGATTTTTTTCTAAGGAGTGTTTCACCCCTTAAAAGCGCGAAGCGGCACGAATTTGCGATAGCTTAATTTTTGGTTTTGTCTAGAAAATAACATATCAAAAGCTCATCGAAATCGGAGGGAGACACTTGGATCTTTCCTTGTTAGTAGCATTGTATAAAAAATTTAATACTGTTATATATATTATTATACAAAAGATTCAGTGTTAGATACAGTCTTTTGTTAAGTATATGTGCTCATGTGTTCTGTACATTATAAAAAAAAGTTAACCTAACCTTAAAACCATTAATTCTGTACCAGTTTTTACAGGACCAACGTTAGCTATGTTTATTGTGCGTGCCAAATCTTCCAATAGTTCTTTCTAAAATTATAAAATTACATATAAAGCAATATATATAGTATTTTCTTTCAAAATTTACAAACAATTCTTTTCATTTCTTTTCGACTTTCTCCTTTAGTACGTACTTTTCTCTTGCTACTTGTAAATGCAATTTCATCCATTGAAGCATTATTTCTTTTTGCTTTTGTGTAGTATTCATTTTCAATAACAAAATCTATTACGATTTTAAATTATTAAAAAATATTTTAAATATAACGAAAGACTGCGTAAAATTAACCAATAAATATCACTTTACTATATACGATGTAGCAAAATACGCTTACATCACTTTTCACTTTTAATCACATCGATTGATGGCTAAAAATGTGACAAATAATCATATGCGCATGTTTATTCCCTATTTAAAAACAATATAGTTAACATATTACTAATGAGTTTTGCTTTGTGACGTTACATGATTGATTAAAATTGTTGTATTAACATAAATTTTATTTGTAAAAATAAAGTGGCAATAGTGTATTATATATTATAAACGCAAATGTATATTAAATCAAGCTATCTTATTATAATTATTACAAATATTACTAACTTTTTCACTTTCCATGATTTTATCCTAGGGAAAAATATTACGTGATCGCTAGGTAAAATCAAGTTCACGTTAAAAGTTTCATGATCGACCCCCAGTAGTCTTTTATAAAATATTACATACGTGTCTTCACCTTCGTGTGTTACATACATAATTGTCCGATTTACTCGTATTACATTTTTAAACATTTTGTTAAGGATAGACATTAATATTAACATATATATGCAATTAGTCCTGTATTATGTTGGATGATTTATAATTGCGTAATGCAACTGAAGAATTAAGAAAATTTAATATTGAACAACTTTAAATAAATATTTTAAATAAAATATTCAAATATTGAGCCGTTTAAAAAAAAGCTTTATAAAGTACGAGACATTTTTACTGTATGTCTTA